TGCACATTACATTAAAATTTACATCACTACATTAGAGCTCAATATATTAAAAGTCGTATGTGGAATTCATGTGATGCAACAGATTATCAGCTAGAAACGAGAACAGAATTGACAGCTGACATATTCTGAGAGAGTATTAAATGATAGTCATGTGATCACTTTTGTTGAAATCTGAAACTTGGCTCTCGTATGATTTTACATATTACAAGTAACATCTTAGAGACAGTGATCGAGCAGCTTTCCAGTATGTCCTTGTTTTCGCCTCAATTGTTAAGGCGCACCAAGCCACAAAAGCCTGGTAACTAGTAATGGTTCTGGCATTCTGATTGGTCCGTCACTTTCTCGTTGCTTGTTCTATTTCCCTTGGTTACCTGATGTCAGCGTTTATGCTCGTGCCCTAAAAACAGGGGTTTCTTTTTACTCATGATAGTTGGGCGAATAAACAGAAACAGAAACAGTGAGAAATGCCAGAAACATCTCAAATGTGCAAGTCTAAGCAGGCAGAATGTATGGGCATGGCCTATTGAAGACTTGTTTACAGAAAATGAATGTTAGAATGTTTTCAAATTTTACGTCACTTAGTCACGTGACTTTGGGTCGGACACCTGGCCCAGTGAAACAATAAGACGATTATAAGTTACCTTACGTCCTACTTGCCATTCGCAAAGGACGCTAGGAACCAGAGAAGCAATAGAGTTAAATGAGTCATCAGGACAGCGCCCTCTCTGTATGGTTTTTTCATGAACAATACACTGACCTCTTGTCAACTTTAACCTTTGATCTTTGAAGCTGGTGATTGTATTTTGCAGTTACATGTATGATGCCATTTATTGTTAAATATTCATGTGAAAGCTTGTACAAATGCTTTTACTAGTAACATTAAACATATCACTTACCCACTAAAAAACACTTCAATATATTTGCCGAAGCGACTTGAGTTGTCATTTTTGATAGTTTTTGCATTACCAAAGGACTCCAACAGGGGATTGGCCTCTAAAATCTGATGAAAACATTAAAGAAGAAATTGAGGATAATCACAATTTCAGACTAGTATCAAAACAGGTGTAACAGGAACAGTAAATTTCATAAAGGTATTTATATATATATTTATTTACTAGTACCTAGAACCATGATTTTTCAATCACATCCAAAAAATACACATTCATTGGTTAAACCATTTAGTGACAACCCTTACACTCGTTACAATCCTTAAACTCCTTACACCTATTACCCTTTAGAAAGTCTAATAAGTTTTAGGTCATTCATTGGCTGATATACTGTGTATACATCTATAACACATTGTGATTGTTTTCAACAGTTAATTAAATTTAAAACAGTTATGCTTTCATGAAATGCATTGTACCACATAAACTGATGG